TCTAGCTCACTCTTTTGGCCATTTGGATTAACATAGCAACCTTGTGAGCTTAGGCAAAGCCCTTCCACTCATCTCCATCATTGATTCATCATCTTTGTGAGATTGGGAGAGAATCCAAGTGCTTTGCTTGAGTATTTGCATCTAGAGGCACTTGGTGTTTGTGTTTTGCTACGGGATTCACTTGTTACTCTTAGTGGTTGCTGCCACCTAGATGGCTTGGAGCAGCGAGGATCGTCGAGTAGAGGGTGGTGATTGTCTCCGGCTCTGATTATGGTGATTGTTAGGGGTTCTTGACCTTTCCCCGACGGAGAGCCAAAAGGTACTCTAGTGAATTGCTCGTGGCTTGTGTGATCCTCATCTTGTGTTGGTTGTGCGGCACCCTATTGAGGGCTTGGCGTGTGATGCCAATTAGCGCGTGAGCCTCCAAGTGAGTGAATCACCACAACGAGTAGTAGCTTGCCGGCAAGCAAGTGAACCTCGGTAAAAAATCATTGTGTTCATCCTTTGATTCCGAGGTGATTAGTCTTCATTGATATTGATTCTTGTGATTGATTGGTTCACTCCTCGACACGGCGGTATAACTATCTTGCTCACTCTCTTTGCATTACCGCAAACTAGTTGTCAAGCTCTTTAGTGTAGCTAGTTGTGAGAGCTTGTTAGTTTGGTTAGTGTGGCTCTTTAGTCAGCCTTTGAGAGCACACTAACTTAGTGTAGTGACATAGCTATTGTGTGGATAGAAACTATATCAACTAGAATTGTGGTAGGTGGCTTGCATTTTTGGTAGGCTAGCGCAACACTTGCATCGCCTCATAATTGTCTAACCGGTTTGCTAAGTGTTGTTGTAGAATTTTTTATTAGGCTATTCACTCCCCCTCTAGCCATTAGGACCTTTCACTCACCCTCAAGGGGGCAGGTGTGGGGGTCCTCCTCATGTCCCCCAGCGGAGACAAGCTAAGGTACGCCCTCCAGTTCCACTTCCGGGCCACTAACAATGTTGCAAAGTATGAGGCGCTCATCCACAGCATTCGGGCGGCCGCTGAGCTCGGAGCTCGGCACCTCTTTGTACGAGGAGACCCCAAACTGGTCATCAACTAGGTTATGAAGGAGTCAGTCTGCCGCAACGTAAGAATGGAGGCCTACTACGCGGAGGTCCAGAAATTGGAAGACAAGTTCGATGGCATCAAACTCCACCACGTCCTTCGGAGGGACAATGAGGAAGCCAATGCCCTGGCGAGGCTGGTGTCTTCTCGAAAGCCCCTGCCACCTGGGGTCATCCTCGATGTCCTCGACACCCCCTCGATCCGCCTCTAGGGGGCCAAGGCGCCAGCCCTAGCTGGCACCACCTCAACCTTGAACAACATCGCTAGAGGGGCGCCGTCCCCCTAGGAATGCATGCTTGTAGTCACCACGTGTAGCTCATGGGGCTCCGAGCCACTGGCTGACACCCTCCCTGACCCTTTGGCACACCTTGCGAAAGTGTAGAAGACAAGTGTCAGCCACCCTAGCGGCATGGCTGGCGGCCCACTTATCGAGGTCCCCGAGGCGGCCTCAAAACAGGTAGCCAACACTCCTGAACACCAAGGCATGCCTCCGTCGAGTCCGAAGTTAGTCCACCAGGACGCCGAGGGCGCACCGAGTGAGGGCACCCCACATTCACAAGACTGGAGAGCTCCCTTCCTCAACTTCTCGAGTGGGGGGTCCTCCCCGCCGATGTCACCGCCGCCCGTAGGCTGGTTCGGCGCGCCAAGAACTACAGAGTCCACGGGTAGCTCTATCGCCAGAGCTCCTCTGAGGTGCTCCTATGGTGCGTCGCCCCGGAGGATAGGAAGAAGCTACTCCTTGACATCCACAGCGGCATCTGTGGGCACCATGCGGTGCCAAGGGCCCTCGTGGGAAAGACCTTCAGGCACGACTTCGACTGGCCGACCACCCTCGCTGACGCTCGGGACCTCATCAAGACATGCAAAGGATGTTAGTACTACGCCAAGCAAAGTCACCTGCCCGCCCAAGCGCTCCAGACGATCCCCATCACTTGGCCGTTCACGGTCTGGTGCCTCGACATGGTTGGAGAATTCAAGAAGGCTCCCAGAGGCTTTGACCATCTGGTGGTCGCCATCGACAAGTTCACTAAGTGGATCGAGGTCCGACCCATCATCAACCTCAAATCAGAACAGGTGACCGAGTTCATCTAGGACATTATCCATAGGTTCAGAGTTCCCAATCACATTATTACTAATATTGGCACTCAGTTCATAGGCCACAAGTTTCTGGATTTCTACGATGCCTGGCGAATCCAAGTGGATTGGGCCTCGGTCTATCACCCTGAGTCCAACGACTAAGTCGAGCGCGCCAACGGGCTAGTCCTCCAAGGGATCAAAACCTGCATCTACAACAAGCTCAAGATCCACGCTAGCCACTGGGTGGACGAGCTCCCCTCCATGCTCTGGAGCCTGTGGACGAGCATGAATCATTCCATGGGGTACACACCCTTCTTCCTCATCTACGGAGCTGAGGCGGTCATCCCCTTCGACCTCGACTTCGATGCCCCACGCGTCCACTTCTACGATGAGCAATGAGCTGAGGAACAATGCCAGGCGGACATGTACATGCTCAAGGAGGTACGAAACACCATCATGGTGTGATCTACCGGCTACCAGCAAGGACTTCGCCGCTATCACGATGGACGGGTACGTGAGCGTTCCTTTGTTTTAGGTGACCTCATCCTTTGGAGAGTCGCCCCGTCCAAGAAGGGCCACAAGTTAACTCCACCTTGGGAAGGCCCTTTCTGTGTCTCGTGGGTGATCCAGCCAGGTGCCTATAACATTAGCACCATTGCGGGGAAGGAGTACGATAATGTGTGGAACATCAAACAGCTACGTCGTTCTATCCATAGCTCGTTACTTCCCGTATTTCAATACCGTACCTCTAACCTCCTGGTAGGATCCCGCCCCTCAATGGGATGGAAGAGACGCCCCTGCTAGAAAGAGGGGCCGCCTCCCAGGGTTCAAGGTCAGCTCATCCGAGCTTCAAGGCCACCCCGGGGAAAGAATTGGAGTGCAAGGGACGCTCGGGAGATGAGCCCACGCGATTGTAGCTAGGACGCCCAGAAGCGTCCCAACCATCTAGACGAGCGATGTCTAAGTACCGACCTTGAGCCGCTCGTGGTGACCCATCATGGGAAGCAGCGAGCCCCCAAGCACCGATAGACAGGCTCGGGAACTATCAAGTGGCTCAGTCGAGAAGCCAAGAATCTACCCTCCAGGGGATATGACCAAGGCATGGAACGACCGTAAACTTGAGGTTCTCACGGACTTACTCACTAGTAGCACGGGCGTGACAATCTTGGCCACCGAGGCCGTTGTCATCCGAGCCCTTAAGAAACTCCGAGGCCCCACAATGGCCTCGGGGGCTGCACTGACTCCCCAGACGGAGCAACACGACCCCCGATCGACGGGCGCTCGAGCGGCGCACCCCCAAAAACCAACCAACTCCCTGAAGTTGGGCCAGGAGCCGCTGAGCGATGTGATAAACAATCATTAGTTTCCGGGCAAACTAGCAAATGAACCATTGAAGCTCCCACTCGGGAGGGATCCCATAGGGGCAAGGATGTCGTTGGGTTGCCCTAGGTCGGCCAGCAAGCCTAGGGCACCATCCTTGGTCGTTGGATCAAGTGATGTACAACAACATGGAGGATGGAAGGGCAAAAAAGAGATAGTAGATTTATTTTGACGATTGTGTATTTGGGATATCTCAATTGGTTGTTGTGGTCCTCTAATATATATAAAGAAGGTGGTCTTATCCAGTAGGAAACCTTTCTCAAACAAAATCTATAAGTTTCCCATGACATTGGACGATTTTCCATCGAGTAAAACTCAATTTGCACTTGGATGTTTGCCGGTTTTTGTGGGGGCTGGAATGATGTTTATCGAGAAATCCAACCTGGCTAGTTCTAAAATCTAGCCAAGCCAGTTTTTTGGAAAATCTAGCCTGGCCTATTATGAGATCCGGCTAGGTCCGTTTTTCTGCATCAACCCTAAAATCACTTTTCTTCATTCGGACTCCAAATGAGACGATCCATGTATGCTTTTGGATCGCCTCGACGATAGGGACATAACGGTGAAGTCTATTATGCATTTTGACCAATTTTGGCTATCACCGTAGGTGTTTGCATAGTGAACTTTAGTCGAGTTCTTGTTCTCCTAGGTTGAGCTCTGCGTATATAGGACTAGTTTTATCTCAATCCTTGGAAATATTTGCTGAAATAATTTCTCATGTGTTGATGTCTATGAATAATTTATCAAGACTCAAATGCTTTGCCCACTAGAACTTGTTTTATGAAATATTTTGTACATGGAAGAGTGCGCTGGCTGTTTGGCGCGCTGCGGACGGAAGGATTCCCGCCAAACTTCACGCTGACTGTTCGTGCACGGCTTTCGTCCGGCTGTTCTACGAAGATTTTTTTTTGATAGTACAGAGATGAGTGGAACAAAGACGCCCTGTTCGAAGGTTTGAAGTGCATAATACGGAGCAATTGCCCCATTGTTCAGCGCTAATTTAGCAGTATTTTTCAGCGAAAGACTATTATTTTTTCTCGTAACAAATTAGCATAAGTATAGCATAAGCCAAATTTCTATGAAATGAACAGTATCAATGCCTATAAGGAGCTCGTACTTGCTAAAAAAAGAATTCCAATTATCAGTGCTTTTTATAACAAATTATCAGTGTTGAAGTACGTATGAACCTAGTGTTAATCAACCATTTTTTGTTTATTATAAAAACACAAAACTGCTCTATGTACCCCAGAAATACTGTATCACCAATTCTTTAATGTGTACGAGTATAGTGTACACGTATCTGTAAAACATTTATTGCCACAAGAGTAAAAGTTAAAAAAAATAGAAAAAAATCACTTCTCACTCACCGAGCCGTCGCCTCGTGCTGTTTGCCGCGGCCCTTGCCGATTCCCCAATCCCCGCTGCCGGCCGCAGCGCAGCGCCGCCATGGGGAAGGTCGCCGGAGCCAAGCGGAGGAGAAGACTGGAGAAAGGGGGAGGAGGAGATCGCCTCCAGGTCCTGGACCGGATCAGCAGCCTCCCCGACGGCGTCCTCGGCAACATCAATTCCCGCCTCCCCACCAAGGACGGCGCTCCTCTCCTCTCAACCTCGAGCTCCCCTGTTGGCCGGCGCCCGACAAGCGACGCCTCTCCCACGGTGAGGTCTCCCGCATCCTTTCCTCGCACCAGGGATCCGGCCGCCGCTTCTCCGTACCCATTCAGTACTTATTACATCTGCGTGACCGCTCCGCACTGGAAGACTGGCTCCGATTCCCCGCCCTCGACAAGAGCTTGAGTTCCGCTACCGATCTATACATGCGGAGCTTCCGCCGCCGCTGCCGCCATCGGTGCGCCGCTTCTCGTCCACTCTTTGCGTTGCCAACTTCGGCGGCTGCGCTGGCTTCCCGGATGGAAGCAACGCCAGCGCGCTACTCCACTTGCCGGTTCTCAAGCAGCTCAGCCTCTGGGATGTCACAATCTCTGAGACTTCTCTAAACTCCCTACTAGCTGGCTGCCCTGTCCTGCAGAGCTTGCTGCTATCTCACACCATTGACTGCTCTCGAGCCCGAATCATGTCTCCTACGCTTAGAAGCCTTTGTGTGATCATGGATGTGATTGGCGGCAAGTGTCCACAGATCATCCTCGAGGATGTCCCTTGTCTTGAAAGACTGCTGCTTTTTCCGGAGCAGGGTTTTCCACATTGGACATCCATGGAAATGGTCATCACGGTGATCTCAGCACCAAAGTTGCATTCTTTGGGGCTATTTTCTAGGGACAGCCCCCGGCTCGAATTTGGCTCCACAGTTTTCCAGGTATATCTGTATCTTCTCACTTTCACTTTCAGAGGAATCCAAATCTCCTTGACCAATCATGATCTTACCTTTTATATTCTGTTCTTACCTTAGGGATCAAGCCTTGTTAGATCAATGACTCTGGTGCCTAGTGTGAAGATTTTAGCTTTACTGAATCTGCATCTTAGTCTGGATATGGTTGTCGACGTCATGAGATGCTTTCCTTGCTTGGAGAACTTGTACATCAAGGTGATCAAACCTACTCCCATCTGCATTAATTCTTTTGGTACCTATAATTACATCGATACTTTTTCTAGTGTTAGATTTTCACCACTTTATGTTGGTTGTGCTTTTTCCAGACTACAATGGCGGGGGAGAAAAATGTGTGGTGCCATAAATACCGGAATCTTGTCAGTACCCTTGACATTCCACTGAAGAAAATTGTGTTGTTGAACTACAGAGGCAACAAATCGCATGTTAACTTTGCCAAGTTCTTTGTACTTAATGCAAGGTTGCTAGATTCGATGGTTTTTGAGGTAGATTATGGAAAATCCAAGCAGTGAATGGATTGAAGAACAACATAAACTTCTCCAGATCAAAAATAAAGCTTCTAGGACTGCACAGTTTGATTTTGTGTATCATGCCACTGGGCTTATGCCGCCTGACCAGGGTTATACTCTAGCACATGATATGTCAACATCTGACCCCTTTGTAAGGTTTGACGAGTGGGATAATTGGGGCAATTGTTAGTCTATACTGTTTTACAGAAACCTGATGTGTCACTTGTTTGCAGTGTTTTGAGTTTCGACATTTGGCATCTCCATTCCTAGAATATTGTAATTTGTCACAAACTAAGTGCTGTGTTTTGTTTTTTACCAGTGAAGTGCTTGATGAGTGGGCTGATCCATATAAAAAATAGGCCTTCCAGAGATAATTTGATTTTGGGTATCACAATTGGCCTTCTAATTTCTTTGTAGGTACTGGACAATTTGTCTTCCAGACCAAAAATAGGCCTTCTAGGAAAACTTGGCTTTGTAGGTACTGCAGGGCAAGCAGATCATTGTCAATGCTGACCCTTTGTAAGATTTAGTGATTCGGTATAATTTCTTTTCATGTGTTAGCCTATACTGTCCTTCCCAATTTTGATTAGTCACTTGCATGTAGTAATCTATGGTTTTGTTGTATAAACCCTTTGGAGTCCTCAAAAAGAAATTTCTTTGGTAAGAAAATGAGGGTATTATCTAGAAGCTAGTCATGTTCATGCATTGTGTCAAGTTGACAATTTGTGGTATTGCTTTTCCTTTAGATGTAACATGAGGACTCTCACCTGTTTATGCATATGCATTCAACTCTCTCTCACTCATTTCTCTTTTCTGCCATTTCTAAATGGAGAGCATTGATTATATAGTGATTTTACATATTGATTCCGCGTACAGGTTACATGTTGAATTCACATGCTCTTTTTTGTTTTTCCATGTCCTGATTTGTAGTGATTTTACATATTTTAATGACCGCCACTCGCAAGGTGAGGAATTGTGAGGTGGGTCTCCTACGATCTAACCTTCTTAAGTCATAACAAGTCTCATAGATAATCTGAGGTTCCAGGTGGCACTAAAAGATGCAATTCTGTGGGTTGATTGATTATATGTAGTTTTCTAGGGTGATTTTGAATTGTTGGGTCAGTCTTGATTGGATTATCTTTTTTTGTTCTTTTTTCATGAATAAATAAATTGATGAGACATGAGTTAGTTTGAGATTATGGCTGTCAGAGCGAGGGAGATGGGGAGAGGGCAGATTGGGTCTGATATGGTTATGGTTAGGGAAACTAGTTATGGTGCCGCTTTGGCTTTTGGCAGTGATGATGCTGAGCGGGATTTCCATCTGTAACAGTGCAGTAGTGCAAAGTGCTAACTACTGTGTTGTACATAAACTCAGGGACTGCTATCAAGTCAGACTTTTAAGTGAGATGTAGAAGCTTAAAATTGAGTTCCTAGACTTTGAGAGTCAAGAGTTGTAATTGATCATCAAAGCTTTCAGCTGAGATGGCAAACTTTCAGGTGTTTGATCGAACTCTGAAAGGGCATTTGAAAGTCAGTGATCAGAGATTTTGTTTATTTTTAGGTGACTGCAGCGTCAAGTTTGAGTTGCAGCTTGAAAGCATAGAGTGGTGGCAGATGTTATGAAGTTAAAGCTGTTCTCAGTTACTCTGCTAAAAGCACGCTTTTAATTTCACAATTGTAGTAGGACTACATTAAGGTGCATACAGGAGCCAGGTTGTAGTTTTAGTCACTGGTAATCGTCTTTTTTTACTTTCCATTTGGCATGAAGTGCAATTCATGAGAAACATCGAAGTGCCAGTGGATTCTTAAAAAAGGTTCAGTTTCATTTCTTACAGTTACAGCATACATACATAAGCCTTCTCCACAAGCTGCAAGTTTATAAGATCCCAAAGTTTGTACTGCCCGATCAATGTCGAGTTCAATGGGAACACACTGATTAATTTCATTAATTCCTATGCATAGGACCTGTTTGGTCCAAGCCGCTCAGATTCACTCCAAGCTCAAGTGATTCTGAACTCTGATGGTTCCAGAACCCTGTACAGAACAGTGTACCAAGCAAAGGTTTAAAATAGCCTGGGGCATCGAATTTGCGAACCATCCGACAGGCAGGAGATACAAAGCCAAATAAAAAACATTTCAACAAATTATCTTTATTTAATTTCGCAAAAAAATATGATTTTTCTAAGATATATTAATCATATCAATTTTTTTTTGCGGAATTAAATTAAGATAATTTTTATATGAAAATTATAGATCTCGATGAGATCTACAACTTTTTAGTTTTTAGTTTTTTCATTTGAAGTCGTTAAGATGCTCAAAAAAAATAATGACATATTTAGACTTAAGGGTATTTTTGACTTTTCACACCTGCAGTTTGACAGCGTTAGAGCCTAGACTAACAACAGTGGCATGGAGGGCACAAAAAAGTTGGAGCAGTGGCGCTGAAGACCGCTGAACTTTTTCAGGGGCTCACAGAGTATTACGATCTTTTTTAATGGCACACAAGAAATTCCCCCTTTTTAGCCCTAGGTGATTAAAAATTGTATAAATTAGCACAACATTCCAGGTTAGAATCCTTCCAGGATCCAATCCCTGGAAACCGAACAAGCCCCTAAGCAGTTCCAAAATTATGATGCCAAAAGCTCACTGGGTCAGACTTAAGAAATAAAAGGACTCGGTGCACTTAATGATCATAAATGTTTCAGACAACTAAAGCATACATAACCAGGTGGTCTCAAGCTTGGACACTCCATTTTGGAGGATTAAAAAGACCGATTCATTCGGTTCTGACATGCCATCCTCATGCTCGATGTCGTCAGCTAACTTATTTCTAAACATTTCATTAATAGTAGCCACAGGTTGCGTGTTGACACCGGTTTCTTCGTTAGTAACAGCCTCGTGGAGGGTTAGGCTAGGCATGGCCACATCATCATTGTTTCTTACGGAACATTCTCACCAACCGCCCCATGCATACTCCATATCCTACAGTTTGATATGAACCCCTGGTAATCAAGTGCGTTTGTATAGACTCAATTTTACCCTATTTTCTTTGATTTTTGCAATCTGCTTTGCATGGACAGAATACAAGGTTTCCATCCCCAGCATCGGCTTTGGCAGCCACAAGGAAGTTGCGGATGCCAACGTGTACCACGTGTCTGTTCGGGATAGACCGTACATCCACCCTCGACTCATCTCTGCACAAAAAAAAATATTTAGACTTCATGCCACGTAAAAATGGGGAGAGTAATTGTAGCTCAAAACTACAACTTATTCTACAATAATTTAATTTGGCAGTCCCATTTTGAAAAACAATTATTCTACATAAATTATTGAAAAATTAAAATGGGTAGCCCTATAAAAATTGAAAATTGTAGCGCCATAAAAAACAAGTATTTTACACTCATCGAGGACAATTATTCTACTTCATGCCACATAAAAATGGAGACACTAGTTACAAAAAAAATTTAAAATTGGACACTTAAGCATGAACAACAATATAGCTCCAATCAATGGGTTGGCAGGTGTCACACTAATTTGCTCAACAAAATGGAAATTGGCAGCCCTATTTGAAACAATCTATTCTACTCCAATCGTACTAACAATCATCAAAACCATGTAATTAGCTAGGAATTTAAATGGGTTCATAGGCACCAACCTTTTGGAAGATGGATTCACCACAATTTGCTTGGATGCCTTCTTCAAAATCCAATTGGAAAGGGCTATCTAAAATGGAGAAACAACTAGAATGAGAATCAAGCAATGTAGCCATCAAAATAACGGTAAAGCAACAAAATCGAAGAAGTGGGTGCTTGTTACTAACCTTAAAGCAAGAAGATCATGCTCATGCTTGAAAATCCAAGGGCTTCATGGCAAAGAACGACCGCAACAATAGAGGGAGTGGGGGAAAACGCGAGGCTGCTGGATGGGTGTGCTCGGGATGGAAGAGAGGACAACAACTTTTTGTACTATCAGTTTATCATTGTCGGCTTAAGCCAAAAACCGATAGTGATATCACCACATCATTGTCGGTTAGTGGCTAGAACCAGCGTGATATATCACCGTCCATTTACTGCCGGTTCCAGCCATAAACCGGCAGTGATGTGGACTTTAACTGCCGTTTTTTTTGCCATCCCCAATTAGTTTCTGATTTTGAAGCTCACAACCGACAGTAAAAGGTTATCACTGTCGGTTCTCCAAAAACCAGCACTGATGGTACCGACAGTGAATGTCGAATCTGTAGTAGTGGGAGGGCCATCTGCTTAGTGACTCGTGGTTGTGGGCCTCTCGGATTACGCGTGGCTTCACGAAATTGTAGAGAAATCAGCTAGTGGAGGTTTCCTATTTAGCTATAGTAGATTGTAACATACTAAAATTGAATATAAAATATTTGCAATAATCGTCGCCTGAAAGGAAACTAAAATTCAGCCACCCGAATTTTAGAAGTCCCTCCCTTTGTTCCAGCTGTCCCGTGATGCTTAATCCTTCATCAAAGAAAAAATCTCTTTATTTTGTACTGGGTACAAACTAAATGATTATTTTTATCAACACTAAAATAGTTAATTAATTTGCTCCTCTTGGTTCAGTTTAATTTGTCAGGCGGCAGAAATGGAACTTCGCGTACATGTACATCCAAGTATAGAAATACCATGAATAATGCCCAATCATTAATTAGATTTTCAATGAACTCTTATTTCCTATATTAGATAGTGACAATGCAATCAAACATACTACTGGCGGCTCGCACACACGCATAATAATAAGTATTACTCCTCCACATGCCATTTATTCAATACATATATAAGGTGCACATGTACGTAACGCTTGTGTGTGCAACATATATAAGCACTAGTAGTTGGTATCCCAGAACTGAGACTGGAGCCAATCTATGAGTTTCTTTTCCACCTGGAACGCCTTGGCCAAAACATCATCCGAGATCGGCGGCTTCGATCCAAACACCGCGCTGGCGATCGTAATAACACCAGGGTTTTGGCTGCTGAGCGATGACAAGGCAGCCGCTGGCTTATCATGGTCCAGGTTCATCTGGAAGTGGATCATGGCCTTGGGGAAGACGAACACGTCACCCTTCTTGACCACCTTGGAGAAGAGCCTGTTTGGGTTGGACGTGACGAAGCCAAGGTAGAGGGTGCCCTCGAGCACGGTGAGGAGCTCGGTGGCGCGGGGATGTATGTGGGGCGGGTTCACACCCAGGGGCGCGTAGTCGATGCGCGCCAGCGAGATGCCTAGGGTGTTGAGGCCCGGAAAGCTCTCGACGTTGATGTTGGTGACGTTGGATCCCACCTTGTTGTTGGTGTCCCTGCGCTTGTCGATGATCATGGCTGGGTTGTAGAAGTCGTCCGGG